CCATATCACATTTTGTGCTACTGAGCATGTGTGTTACAGTGTAAGTGAATGTATGATGATGTCTTATTTTATACATTTATTTGATTGTAATCACTGATGACACACACAAGCACACTCATTTATGATTGAATGAATAAAGTGAAAATTAAAGTTAAATAAAAGAATAATAATATAATGTGTAAATGAAGATAGATAAATTAATACCTTGCTAATTAATGAACCATACACCATTTGTGACTGCTCATTACCTTTTCTGTATATTTTAATATTAATTTTATGTTAAAGCACTGTAAACAAAGACTGAAATGGTTATTTTAGATACAATTATCTCTTAATCAAGTATTTACTCTCGGATGATATTTCAGATTGATATGGCTTTATGCATGTAACCTGGGATTATTTACTTTGCAGGTTTTCTCATTGAATAAACTGAACACAGTTGTAGATGAATTCTGGGCAGAAATCTCTGAGGCAGTTGACAAGATGTAAGTGAATATGCTTGTTTGTTATTGTGCTTTGTCTGCTGGACCATCTTAAGTTGGTCATGAAACACTAATATCTCTGGCCCCATTCAGAATAGGGGACTAACTAATCCGAGGGTCAAATATGGCCGACCCACTGGAATACTTCCCCACAGGATATCTTTTCAGTGTCTGTTAGTGGATTAGACGGCAAGCTTGGTAGTGGGTCACCATATTTGACCCTTGGACTAGTTAGTCCCCTATTCTGAATGGGGCCTTAGGCAGACTTGTCTAACTTTTTGCCTGCCAGCCAAATTAAGTTGAAACTCTTGAAATCGCATGGTACATCCCCTCATAAGATTTACAAAAAAATACTAGTACCAGTTAGTTAAATAACTATAAATGTTTCTTATTCTGTATGTGAAACTGAAAACAGCAAGTATTTCCTCTGTCACGTTATGTGCTCAAAGTTACAGTTACTGTTTCAAGGGTGTAAGTAACTCCAAACAAAGTGTTTGTTTGAGGAAACGGCTTTTTGTAAAGTAAAAAATGCTAATTAAATAAAGTGTAAGTTTTCAGCTCCCAAACTCTGGAATAAATATATAAATATTAGCTTTAAGGGGCAATTTTTTCACTTGGATGATTGAATAGCTAAAATGAAATGAAGTTTACATATATGTATGTGTTGATACATGTGTTGTTATCTTACAGTGAGATGCTGTATGAAGATACCACCTTCAAGCACAGAGAACTGGCAGCTCTGGTGGCTTCCAAGGTAACGTACACTATACATAGGAACAATTATCTTGGTTAAATTATGTTTTTTATTTTTTTGTTTTGTTTTCCTGCCTACGTGTTCTGTAGATGTTAAAAAAGTTAAATCAGTTGCTATATGCTTTTGTTACAAACTGCAAAATTACTCACATGAGATATTTCCATGGACAGTCAGGTATTTTCATCGTGTCCCATAGCCGAGAGTATTTGGTGCTGCCGAGGTTTTTCCAGTATTAGCACTCTTTATGAAGATTTTCTCAAAACAGGGGAGATAGTTGTCTCTTATTTTTCTCACCAATTATCTCTTCTATTTCAGACAAAGCTCTGCAACCTTTACTTTATCTTTTACAGAAAGTGTAAAGAATATATTTTTATTTAGGGGTACTATCACCTTGGCGCCTTTGAAGAGTCAGTCATGTACATGCTCCTCAAATGTAAAATATTTCATAATTATGTTTTTATTTTAGGTGTACTACCATCTTGGGGCCTTTGAGGAGTCCGTCACCTATGCCCTGGGCGCTGGCTCTCTCTTTGATGTCAACGACACTTCGGAGTATGTTGAGACTATTATTGGTAGGTAAAGCTTATTGACTAAAAAAAAAATAAATAAATACTAAGGTAAATAGATAATTAAATGGATAGATAAATGAATAGATATTTAATATATGCATCATACTGGTTATGGATTTGTGTGTGAAAAGAAACTGGCAAGACTTGGGCATATAAGTATTTAACATCAGGATAACAGAGACAATGAAAATGACAAGGTGCCCGCAGATGCTTGACATTCTCAGCAATAAAATTCAATAAGGTAGACATTTTAGAAAATGCAGTCCAATTTCCCTTCTATTTCTTCAGCAAAATGCATTGATAGTTACACTAGAATGAGAGTCCACAATGCAGAGAGCGATGATGTTGACCAGAAACCCATGGATTCCCGTCTGGAGGCAGTGGTGAACCGAATGTTCCAAAGATGTTTTGATGACAAGCAGTTCAAACAGGTTAATGTCTCATATCTTCAGATTAATTTATTGTCATCTAGAAATTCTTTTCAGTGTAGTAAATTGATTAGATTATGAGTTTTAAAATGTGTAATTTGTCTGTTAATAAATGAAAAACAGTTGAATATAATGGTTAAATTTCTTTCTCTGGTACTGTGGATTATTGATGATAGAAATAAAAACTTGCAGATTTTAAATACACAAATTATTGTTGTTCATGATGTGGAACACTCAGAAATTAATGTGCTATACTTTGCCAATTTCAGGCTGTAGGCATTGCCTTAGAGACCAGGAGAATTGACATCTTTGAGAAGGCCATTCTGCAACCTGTAAGTACCTGTCTATAGAAATGTGGAGGGGTTTTTCAACAAAGAAAATCATAGTCTCATCACACCAGTGGGGCAAACATTTTGTGCAATACTTGCATAACTATTTGATGCCATTTTGGTTACTGATGTTTTCTTTTCACTTTTGAAATTTACCTAAAAGTAATGTGTGAAGCAGAGAAAATGGTTGGGAAGGAATTAAAAAATGTGCAAATATGACACAAAATGTGAGCATCACTCAGACAGTCACATTCCTTAATGGAATGACCTGCCAAAATCTTTGAGTCTACTGGCCCTGTGAGAAATCATGGACTAAGAAAGCTGAATCAGTGGCTGTTATCTGATCAGAGTTATTTTACTGACCTTCACATTTAAGTTTGTGGCTGGTGTTATGGCTGCAGTCAATTGCTTTGCAAAAGTAATTTAAACTAAGAGTTGACCTGAAGATTTTTGAGCTAAATTTTTGTCTACTTTGATAAAGGATAATTTAGTATAATCAGGTCTACTGCCTTGGTCTACTGCTAACTTTATTATAAAACTTGTTAACTTTATAACATGTTTCAATGATTGGTCACTGAATGAATTATTTTACGTAATTCCAGGATAGTGTGTCAGACATGATGACGTATGCCTACAAGGTGACGATGTCCTTGATTCAGAACCGTCAGTTCCGTAACACCATTCTCCGCGTGCTGGTCAAGATGTACATGGGACTTGCGACACCTGACTATATTAATGTCTGCCAGGTAATTATTTGGCTCTGTTATCACATGGTTTATTATGGACCTGTGTGTATGTGTGTGTGTGTGTGTGTGTGTCTTTGTTTGTTTGTTTGTTTGTTGTAATGTAAGCCAGATAATTTATATATATGAAAGCTTGCCTTAGCTTCACTTTATATTACGTCTACCATGAAGAACTTTTACCACTGTACTGTATATTTCAGTGTTACATCTTCCTGGATGAACCTCAAGCTGTGGCAGAGATCCTGGAAAAACTGGTCAAGGACAGTGAGGTAGGTGAATGGTTTAGTTTTCCAACTCCTTTTTATTTCCTTCACATATTTTTTCATTTGTTTCAAGGACTTCACATGGTAGTTTCTGCAATATTGGCCTCAAACTGTTTTACTTATGAAAATGTTTTATGACTTCTTTTGTTCCTTCAAATATTTTTGATGCGTTTGAAGGACTAAGCAGGTAATTTTTTGCAATATTGGCCTCAGAGCATTTTACATATAATTGACCCACAGTAAATATACTAGACATTCCAAAATAAGTCACTTTAGTTAGTGAGAGTTTCCCTCCCTCCCTTTCCAGGAGAGTACCCTGATGGCGTACCAGATCGCCTTTGATCTATACGAGAGTGCCACTCAGCAGTTCTTACAGCGAGTGCAGTCAGCGCTGAGGTCCACAGCGCCCATCCCTATCCCAACAACGCCAGTCGGGAAGGCAACCAAACCAGAGGACTCCAAAGAGAGGTCAGTTGTTTTTAAAATGACAAGATGAAACTTATTAAGACTCTAAATTAAAGTAAGAATGACCAAAAATTTTCAGCTAATATGTGACACATGAGACATCCATTTTACCAAGAACCCTTAAAATAGAAATAATTATATTAGTTTAGATTATATATTTAAAATTAATATAGTTAAATGAAGTTTGTGGTAATAAAATTGTGCATTTTAGAGCTGAAACTGTAAAACAAATGTTGTCTTCATGTCATAAAGGTAATTATCATGTTGTTTACAGTACTATGGAGACAGAAGACAGCACAGTTGATGCAGACAGTGGGAAACCTGCTGAGAGTGCCACACCCAAACTGGAGGATTTGGTGAGTGTTCCAGAGAAATATTTGAATGTCAGTTATAAGTTTCTTTTCAGAGCAGTTGAGTTAAATACTTTATGGAAAGAAGTGGCCTTTAAGCAATTGTGTTGTAGATTTCTTTTCTTTTCTTCTAATTTTGTTTTTTATATTACCCCTTTATTAGTATGATATATTATTCACAGTTGTGAAAAAAATTGTTCGCAATTGCAAATTGATCTTAAAAAGAAACAATATTAGGATATACTTTGCAATAGTTTGTAAAAGATCAAGTCAGAGCACAAGTAGAGGTGGCAAGCTGGTGAATGTATAATGTTGTTTAAAAAAAAATAATAATAATGATGTAATATTGTTGTTATTCCAGAGTGAATCTGACCGTAAGCTCCAGGAGCAGTTCACCAAGCTCCATACTATCCTGGGAGGTGACTTCAGTATTGCTCTCAACCTGCAGTTTCTTATCAGGAACAACAAGACAGACATGTTGATACTGAAGAATACCAAGGTAACCTTCACTGTTTGATGGATCTTTTGGATCTAATATGATTAGATTGTGTGTAGGTTGTGCATGAAAACAATATAGCGGGAACAATAATTGATTTTTTTTAATGTGGTATTGTCACCTTACCTTTGACCTTGACCTTGACCTTGACCTATATCTATTTCCAGGAGGCAGTACGCAACTCTATCTGCCACACAGCCACTGTGATGGCCAACGCCTTCATGCATGCCGGCACTACATGTGACCAGTTCCTCAGGTAATAGATAATAATGATGATAATAATAAGATGATGATGATGATACTTGTTAAGATCTGATTTTTAACTGAATTGGCTCTGATATGTTCATAGAGCTGTTGATATTTGTATATAAAAAAAATAATAATAAACAGGGCATTAAATAGTAAATAATCATACTATGATGTTAAAAAGTTCTTATATTTTTAACATATGACAAAAAATTCATAAAATGAAACTTTCATGAGGATTGCTTTATTTCTGAAAAAAAAAAAAAAATTAACTGTGATGTGAAGTGTAGTTTTCTTGGGCGCAAAATACACTGACCTTGACACTGACCTACTTCTAGGGACAACCTGGAGTGGCTGGCCAGGGCCACAAACTGGGCCAAGTTCACGGCCACTGCCAGCCTCGGTGTCATCCACAAGGGTCATGAGAAGGAGGCTCTGAACTTGATGTCCACCTACCTGCCCAAGGACACTGGTCCGGGGTCAGCTTACAGTGAGGGTGGTGGTCTGTATGCTCTAGGTAAGTTATCAGGAATTTTTCTGGCTGACAGCAGGAATCTGTGTCTCCTTTCTTTGTCTTTTATTTTAATGCAAGATGGAAATAGTGGTCTTGGAAAGAGTGGATTTTATTTGACGATGTGTCTTTGCATGAATTGATGCTTGCTTTGTGCTCTAGGTAAATGGTTGTCAAATATTTTTGAAGGTCAACTGAAATTTATAGCTGTTTTTTTGTCTGTTTTTGCAAACAAAATCAAAGAAAGTGTAGATTCTGCATTACTTTGCTTTCTGTAAGGGCTAAATATATCTATATAAAATAAATAATTGGAAATATTTTTTGTGACAGCTGTGTAACTTTTTGTAATTTTTGTAACATGCTATGACAGATAGAGTGGATTGTCTTTTTATGTAAGTCTTGACTTATGGTGTTTATGATGCTTTGTTTTGTTTCCTATTATTCAGGTCTTATCCATGCCAATCATGGCGGAGAGATCACAGAGTACCTGCTCAACCAGCTCAAGGATGCTTCCACTGATGTAAGTGGAACATACTCATTACTTCATAAATGTACATTTTTAGTCTAGGTTTAACCATTTTACCAGGTTAAGTAAGTTATGTATAAGTGTGCCTAAGCAGATGAATGCCCACCAATCTTTAAACTGTTCATTTTGATAAAAAAAATGGATTTTCCTGGGGTAAACATGATTTTCCCATTCCTACTAAAGTTAGTCCATAATATTTTTTCTAAAAGGCTTGACTTTCTGTAATAATCGCTTAAGAGATTACTACAGAGGTATCACCATCTTTGAAGGTCCACTTGGTCTGTGATGGCAAGCACCAATTCCAGAATAATTGTGATAACCAATGTTTTGATGGTAAAATGGAATTTAATATATTTCTATGAGGTGTTTACAATGTATTTAAAGGAGTCTGGTATGAAGAGTTGTTATCAGTTTGAGATAGCTATTGATGTTGTATTATTTCAGATGGTCCGTCATGGAGCTTGTCTTGGATTGGGGCTGGCTGCTATGGGGACTGCCAGACAGGGTGAGTGATGTGTAATAAAGCATTGTCTAGAAATATCATCAGTCCTTTCATTTGTATTGTACTGCTGCTTTGCTTGATGATGATGAAAAATGTCAAAAGATGAATCTAAAAAAAAAAAAAAGAATAATAATATAGTAAATTGATATCTGTGAGCACTTTCAAGTTCAGGTTAGACGAAGATAACATTTCTTGCTGAGATAACATGCTAAGCAGTGGTGCTTGTTGTTATTGGGACATTGGTCTGGCTGTGAGTAACTTGAGGTCAACCTATATCAAGATGACACAGTGACTGCTGAAGCGGCAGGTCTTGTATTCCAATACTAACCTTTCATGTCATCTATATTCTATACAACTCTGAAAAGCTCAAGTTGATCTTATATCAAGATGATACTGTTACTGGAGAGCATTCAAATATTAACCTTTCATGTCATCTATATTGTAGACATCTATGAACAGCTCAAGTTCAACCTGTACCAGGATGACGCAGTGACGGGAGAGGCGGCAGGTCTCGCTATGGGGCTGGTAATGTTGGGCACCAAGTCTGCCACTGCCATTGAAGATATGGTGGCTGTGAGTAGTTTCTACATCATCACTGATAATAACCTTGATACATGATGTTGTTGACTTGAATTCATAATCCCTTATATTTTTCTATAGTATGAATGCTTAATTGAATTTTTTGAAGTCATGTTAGGTGTTCAGATTAGATATATCTTTAAAGAAATTTTTGACATAGCTGAATACATTCATCCAATGTTATAATTTTTTTTTAATAATTTAGATTTGATAATTACCAGAGAATGTTTAAATCTTTTACAAATGTTAAATATTTTATTTTAGTATGCCCAAGAGACTCAGCACGAGAAAATTCTCCGTGGTTTGGCTGTGGGCATTGCGCTGACCATGTTTGGTAGGCTGGAGGAGGCCGATACCCTGATTGAGAGCCTGTCACGTGACAAAGACCCCATCCTGCGCTGGTCAGGCATGTACACGGTTGCCATGGCGTACTGCGGAACAGGAAACAACAAGGCTATCAGGAAGTTGTTGCATGTTGCTGTGAGTAGTGAAGCCATAGTAACAGTGTTGTAACAATGTTTATATTGTGAGACTATGATAAAGTGACCTAGTGCTACAATGCTTAAATGTTTAAAAAAATTATGACTTGTGGAAATTAAAAGAAAATATTTTTTCTCCATATAGTTGTATTGATAACAGTAGTATCTCCATAACAAAAGTGTGACAATACTGATACAGTGACTGCATGATAAAACAACAGTAGTGTAACAATGTTTATTGTAGGTATTGCTTACTGAAGCTATGAAAAGGTTTTCTCTCCATGTAATCTTATTTGATTCACAGTTATCGTTTAACAATGATGTCATTTAAAGACATATCCACCAACTGGTGTATTTATCAGCCAAGCACACACATTTGATAATTTCAGCATTTCGGCATTGTGGTAATTCTCTTTCCCTTTTGTATTCTCAGTGTTTCACTGAAGTGTCCCAGTTTTTGTGGGCATACACATTTTCCTACATGGATTATTTTATCTATAGCCTTTGTGGCAATTGCTCAAAGCTACAGCATAGAAAAGGAATGTGGTGTTTTATTAATGGACATTAATGGACACAGAGGCTGGATGTTACAATGTTGTTGTTGTTGTTGTTTTTCCAGGTCAGTGATGTCAATGATGATGTCAGGAGAACGGCCGTCACTGCCCTCGGCTTCTTGCTATTCAGGTAGGACCCAAGTTTTCTATATGCTTGCTTTCTCTTCACATTGGCTTTGGTGCTGTGATATTTTCAGGGAAAGATTGACAGAATTGTAACATTTATGAATATGGTAGTGTGAATATATTTTCAGCATTATCTGCATTTGGGAAAATGATACTGTACATGTACAGCCAGATTATAGAGGTTGTGCTGAGAATGATTGTGTTAGAGAAGATCTGAGAAGCAATCAGGTGTGCTGCTGCAGCACAACCAGTACAGCCCTGTGCACCTTTTGATTGAATATGTAACAGAATATGTAACAGAATGCCATATTTTTTCATATCATGTCATTGTTCTGAGAACATCATGTTCTGAGAACATAATTGCTCTGTTGATCTTGGGAAATGTATTACCTTGCACAGTACAACACTTGATTCTGTTGTTATATGTATTGTGGAACAGTCTTTTTGACTGTTCTACCTCTCTTTTGTCATATTACACCTAATAGACAGGCAGAGAAACAGGTAGACAGATATAGATTATGAGATGTAAAGAATGTGAGAACGAAAAACATCAACATTAAAAATTTAATAATGTCAGGGGTGTAATCAAAGAAAAAAGGAACACCCCAATATATCATGTCAGAAGCCTGAAAGCTGTGTATTATACCAGCTTCTGAACTGCAGACATAGATGTAACTGTGTTGTGAATTTGTACATTATGCAAATAGTCTTTTATCATTTGCTATACAAATTAATACCATAACCTATCCAAGCATTCAAAGTTGATTAACCTCAGATGGGGCCTTTCTTTGATTATGGATGCAGGGAGAGTTACGTTGCCACCTACAGTATTGTTTTTAATTAGAGGAAAAGTTTGTTGCTAAGCAACTAATATGCTATTATCAGTACTACTGTTCATGAATAACTGATATCTCTCAAATTTCTCATTTGTTTTACTCTTAGACTAGTAGAAAGTTATATTTTCAATATAGGTGATAAGATGATAAATGAACTATTGTGAATAATGTAATCAGTTCATCTGGCAGTTGCTCTTCATGACTATGCCAGAGTAACGAGGAGAAATGTAGGATGTTGTTAGCCAGATTCTCTTGTCCTGTGACGTATGAGAAAATATAATTAATTATTGAGAAATACCAATGTTTTGATTATGGTTTATCAATTACAGCCAAGACAACAGGTTGGTACCATGCATTACCAGTATGTGTTCCTCAGGTACTTGCTGAACATGGAAATCATACTCCTGGAAATAATAGCGTCATTTTGATGGCGGTTCACCCACAGGTCATCGTGTCCTTGGACACATCATTTAAGAGACAACTTGAGTGATGGATGACCTCCTGATATCATATTGAAATTGTCTGATTCTGATGGATTGTCTTTATAAGTGTACTTTTATTGGTGTTGTACACAGACGTAGTGGTCATTTGCTGTTGAATGGCAATAGACAGAACCCAGTTGGGGGGAGGGGGGGTATATGTGTATTCCCAGATTGTCAGAGGTTTCTCCTTTTGCTCTGCCAATAAACAACAAAACAGTACAAAACCAACCCATTTTTCCATCTCCGTCCCTAACATACATAAGAAAATTGCTGGAGTATACTTTTGTATGTTTTCTGAGTGAAGTACTAGCAAGGCAGTTTTTTTCCTTGTTCACCCTCAGTTAAATTCTGGGTCCTTAATTGAGAGCCCCATCTCATTCCCATGTATAAAAGTGGTTTGTTGGAGGAATTATTATTATTTGATTGTCACTGTTGTTGGTGCTAAACGTGTTGCAGGAGCATTTCCACAGCTGTAGGTAATTTTCTTGAAGTTGTCACACAACAATTTTCCAAATCTTATTGGCACAAACAATCTTAGATCATAAAATGATCTGATATTTCTGAGAAATGATACTCCATCATCATCCATCATTTACCTTTCAATAAACACCAAGGTCATCATCAGTGGACCTCTTGTGATACTGACCTGTCGTGACTGTAGACACAATGACCAAGGCAAAATGGCCTCTTATTATGTATAATAACGTTTGCTTATCTTATAATTGTTGTTCAGAGAGATGGCAAGTTTTAAAATTGGTTTACCAACATCCCATTCATGACCTTCAAATTATAATAGTTTTTGTACTCTGTGAAAGTATTTGGTTGTGTTATATCTTGTGTTGATAGGAAGAAACCGTAGCCATGCAAGAAAGCGTAGAAGCAAAAATGCTGAAAAAATCCATCACATTCATTGCCTCCCTATTGGTTGCCAATTATCTGTCTACTCCTTGGTTGTTCTTCTCCTCCTCACTTCTGCTGGCACAATCTCAGATTCAATCAGGCACAATTAGATGAGCCAGGAGACTCTGTAGGAGGGGTTATTTATAGAAAGTTTTCTCACCAGAACTGCTAGACTGGCAGCATAGGGTGAGGAACTCTCTCTCTATGGGCTGATGGAAGTCTTGCCTGGGGTTGGTGTCTTAAAAGGGTTTCAACTAAAAACTTGGGCTTAACTTTTAGACTAGAAATTTAGTCACCTAAATTTGAGACAAATCAGTTGTAGTCTACTTTAGATAAAGTAGGTACTAATCTGAATCATAAGTCATGTCTTTTTTTTGTTATATAACTATATATAACTAGCAGATTATTTTATTTAAGTAGTGTGTCACTGGTTTGGCTGGGGTCAGAGGTGACAGTTGTGTGAGTTTTGACATACAGTTGTATAGAGCAGTGTTTTAAGGTTGACTTTCTGATTCTGAACACGTTTTTTTTCTGTTTGGATTTTTGTCACTTTTTTACGTGATAAGTTGTGATAAGTTCTCTTATGTCATGGCTCTATGGGGCACAAACTAATGACCTTTTATTCTGCGTAAGTCTTTTTTGAAAAATCTGTTTACAGAAATTATGTTCTCAACTCCGTTGGGAGTGAGCAATAAAGATATTATTTTTATATCAGCTTCAATGTTTTAGTTCACAAAAGACATTTTGCAGAACTTGTTATTCATATTTCACTAAAATCTTTATTACCTGGCATCATGTGCATGTTGTGGATTTTCATTAGTGTATTTTTTTTTTTCGTTTTTACATGTGACTCCAGCAGCTTTAGAGGGTGCTGCTGAGCATGGCAAGAGTAAAGAAGCAATTTAGAATGGACATTATGTGCTGGAAGGTGACTGTTTTATAGATAGAAGAGGCTGTTTTCTGGTTCAACTGTTCTGCTTTTTAATCGAAGACATTTTTTATTTGTATATGAGGCCCATGAGTCTTGGGTGGCATTGCACAAAAAGTTTGAAGTGTTTTAAGCCTTAACTTAGCTGACTAAATATGGCGAAGTTGACTGCGGTAATAGCCAGTACCTTGTAACTTTGATCTAAGAGAATTTTACAGGGAACTGACCTACAAGAAAAAGGAGTTAGCTCATCTAAATGGTCTGTTGTTACCACTGAGGATAAAAATGTTCCTCAAGGCGGTCTAAATCAGCTTGTTAAAAGACTGAATGAAATGGGATAAGGGGCCTTACAAATTCTCTCTCAAATGAAACTTTGTGGAAAAAACTTAATAGCATTCTTTGCTCAAATTGATGTACATGTTTTGTGAAATGGATCCTTGATGGTTATTGTTGAGCTTATTGTAAATAGAAACAATCAATAAAGCCCCCCTTTACACTGGATGGTGGCCCATAGCAAGGCTTCATCTGAGAGAACAAAATACTACTTTACATGCCGACAACTGGCTGATCATTGAGTATTCATTCTGCAACCAAAGCGATTCTGTGCCTCCTTACTTCGACCACAGAAATGATAGTTTAATGTCACAAGAAAGGACTCAGAAAGGACGCCGACCAGTGTAAATAGGGCCTAAGTTTAATGTTAGTCAGCAAGATAATGGAGAGAAGAGTGGTGTGATGCACTCCTCCTTGGTACTGCACAGTGCGCAAAGTTTTCATTTCTCTTTTTTTACCTCTCAGAACATGCTGACCTCTACACCTTGAGTAGTTCACAGTTTTCATTTTCCCTTCAGATATTACTGTTCTTGTTTACTCAACACTCAGGGTATTTAGCACACACTGTGTTGATTCACTTACTTGTTGTGTTAAGGTGTAAGATAAATAGGTTATTGGAGAATTTTTGTATCATTTTCCTCAGGAAATGTTGCCATTGTGCAGTCCACTGCGTAGGTCAGTAAACTCCAAGAAACATTTCCTTCCAACTAAGTGCTAAATAGACTAAAATCTTCTGATGTTAATGTACAAAATGATCTGTGTTTGGGCCAACTTTTTTTTTGTAATTTGCCCACACAGTCTTCAAGAAGAGTTCAGTACCATCAAAGGAGACCAACATGAGGACTGTGTATGCATCAGATAAAAAAAATCTCCAGCAATTGGGCAATAATTTTTTTTGAGTTCTCTTTCTGTTTTGAGATCATATTCTTTGCCTTGTCATAAAAGTTCATCAACCTAAAATAGAGAGACTCGCAGGTCAGTCACCAGTCAAGGTATATTTGGCTTAGAAGGTGGAAAAAATTTCTGTAACTTTTGGATTTCTTCTTTTTGCAAACTCTCCGTTCCAGTTTAGTGACCTTAAGCCAAGCCATCTACAAACTATTTATTAAACAAATTAAATCCTACTTGTCCTGAGTTGAGGCATCTAGGTTAGTTTTTTTCTTGGCCAACACTGGAAGGCAACCTTTGGGTCAAATTTTGTCTTCATTTACAAGAAAATCTACACATACTCAGTCTTGGCTAAAGATTCCAGGTGTTTTGTGAGCCATCACTCTACCTCTGAAATAGGAATTCTGGCAGACGTTTTCTTTATTTGTGAAACTTAGAAACCATGCACTTATTGGGTTGATTGAGGCCAAATTTCATTGAAATAATATTATTACTTTTATATTGATTTGTTATGCTCATCAAAATGATTAGATGAATGAATAAAAAATAACATAAACGTAATTGATAAAAAATACAGATGTTAAGTAAAAAGGGATTAATAAAATGAAAAGGAAAATTAAAAGCAATGTGCCAAATAAAGT